ATGGAGCTTTTCCATCTTCTCTTTCCACAGATGTAGTCTATTTGATTTCTATGTGTTCCATTTGGCGAGGTCCATGTGTATAGTCGTCTCTTATGCTGTCTAATCACTATATATGGACCTAATTCCATTTGGGAACAGGATTTTGTTTGTTATGTTCATGAAGACATATCATATCAGTATTGTTGTTGTTAAGTGCCATCGACTCAGTTCCGACACATAGCGACCCTGTATAGCGTTTCCAAGGAGTGGCTGATGAGCTTGAACTGCCGACTTTGCAGTTGAAACAGCTTTGCAATCTGGCGCATTAACCCACAGCGCCACACCAGGACCAAATCACTTTCGAGACACAGACTAGCACAGAAGCAAGCACAAATAGGTGAAAGATAGATGCAAGGTGGCGATCCTGGTGTGGCACTATGGGTTAATGCACTGCACTGCATAGTAGGTTTGAACTGCAAGGTTGGTGGTTCAAGTTCACCAGTCACTCCTTGGAACCCCAATACAGGGTCACTAGGAGTTAGAACCAACTGAAAACAATTAACAACAACAACAACAAGGCGGAGATCACCAAAGAGCAGAGGAAAGGCAAGGCTAGAGAAACTCAGGCAAGGATCTTCCTCCAGAGTCAAAAGAGGAGAGCCTTCCCCAAGAGCCAGTGCCCTGGAATTCAGGCTTCTAGCCTCCTAGAAGTGAGTGGTAGTGATGGTGGCATGCCGTGGAGTCGGTTCCAACTCATAGTGACCCTGCATAGGGTTTCCGAGGCTGTAAATCTTTATGGGAGCAGAAAGCCTCATCTTTCTCCCACAGAACTGCTGGAAGTTTTGAACTGCCGACCCTGAGGTTAGCAGCCCAATTTGTAACCACTATGCTGCCGTGACAGGAGTGAGAAAAGTGAGAAAATCCATTTCTATTTGTTAAAACGATTCATTTGTCGTATTTCTGTCACAGCAGTACTAAGAAACTAAGACCCCACCCCAGGAGAGTAGCCTGGTATGAGTTGGGAGGCCTTCAGGGGACAGAGTGGGAGCAGCCAGGGCCTGGCCCTAGCACCTGCCCAACCTATTTCCCAGAACCCACCCTGCTTCACCAACAAAACCCATCACAATAAAGTATACCCAAGCGTGAGCTTGACTTAACCACAGAAACAACATATCTCTTCCAGGGCATAGTAAAAAGATTAGTGACCAGCTCCTGGTGTTTACTGCCCCACAGGAGGGGCCTTTAGCCATACCCTAAAGGAGCCAAAGAAGCTAGAGTTTATAAGTGTTAATGGGACATGAACAATGTGGTGAGTTTTGGTTAAAAATTTGCAAGATTCACTGTTAACCCGGCAACCCCTTGTATGTCAGAGTAGAGCTTCATAGGGTTTTCAGTGGTTGATTTTGGGAAGTATATTCTAGGCCTTTCTTCCAAGGTACTTCTGGGTGAACTTAAACCTCAGACTTTTTAGTAGGTGCGCATGTTAATGGTTTGAACCACCCAGGGACTTTTAGTGATTGTTAAACAAAATAACTGGCCAACTTTTGTAAGGAACTGGAGGCCTCTTCAGGGGCTTTGGCTTCACATTTGTGAATGTGGGGTAGAAAGACCAGAACATTTACCTTTTCCAAGGCCTCTCTGTCAAGTAGTTCTTGCACAGCTAGAAGCTTGATGCTGTAAGAAAAAATGAAAACCACACTTGAAAAACAAATCATTTAATGAGGCACTAAGAGTCAAATGCAAACGAAGGTCTGAAATTTCACTCCACATCATCACTCACCTTCCAATTTCAAGTGACCTTTTGTTTGAATTAAAATGACCACTTCGGAACTATTTAAAAGGCGGTGCTTTGGGATAATGCCCTGGACCACAAGGTCACGTTTCAAACCTACCTGTCACTCCTTAGAAACCCTATACAGGGTCACTAAGGGTTGGAACCAACTGGACGGTACTTAACAACAACAACAAACTCTAGGAGGGATTAATAGCTGCTTTATGTAAGAAATTCAGATTAAATTCAAAAGAATTTAAAGATGAAATCAGTAAACCACAGTCTGTATTAGTCTTCACTTGATGTCCCTTTGAGGATATAGGCTTAGGCTCTGCTCAAGTGTTTACCAAACATTCATTGAGTCCTACTGTGTGCAGGAGGCTGAGGACACAAGATGACTATGACACAGTCCCTTTCAGGCACAAGGAGGACAAGGTCAGACCAGGTGTGTGGGGTGTAAAGTGGATGCGCCAAGAGACAGAGAAGAGCCCAGCCCACAGGATGTCAGAGAAGCTTCCTGCAGGAGATTCCAGCTTGGTCATGCCAGAGGAGTGGGGCTGGGGTAAAAGGCGACCCCCAAAGTGATAGCAGAGGGGAGAGAAGACACAGTTGTGCATGACACAATCCTTGTTTTCCAGCTAAGTGGTATGAGCCAAGATCAGTCAGCAGCTGTGATATAGTGAATAATCTAATGTCTCTTCTAGCTGTAGTCTGTAACTCCCACCAAACAACGTTTCTGCCCTGCTGAGTAAGAGAAGGAGGGAAAAGATACTGATAGGATGGCATGATTCATTAGCAAAGTTCATTGTAATTTAAAAACTTGAAATTCTAGCATGGGTTTCAAATGAGGCCTATCAGAAATAGTGGGTGGGGTGGATCTCATTATCATCAACGAAAAGGAGCCAGAAGTGGAGTGCATCCTTTGGACCCAATATCCCTGCGCATTGAACCTCCAGGACCCAGAGACAGAAAGCTGTGATGCCAGAAGATCATCATCAGCAGAACCAAGAACCAGAACTCAAGACCAAACAGTGGGTTTCCCAGGCCACAGAGCAAGTAAAAAGCTGGGTGGTTGACTATGGGCAGGAAGCTTCCTTGAAGTGTGGGGTGCCTCCAGGAACTTAAGTCGGGGAGCTAGGTTTGTTGACCCACGGAGCTAAAGCCAAGTGTCCTCAGGCTAAGAGGTATGATGGAATGGTGAATCCTACGGGCATTTATCAGCAGCTGACTGAACAACTGTGCCCTGAACATTTTCTGGTCCTGCAGTTCCCATGAGTGTGGTGTCTTCAGTTCTCTGTGGCCATTGCAACAGATTGTTGAAGCCAGCCTGAGTAGAGAGTGCTGTAGGAGGGATGTTTGGGGCTTCACTTTTTGCAGCACCCAAGAGGAAAGAGTTGGGAAGTGAGGCAGGTTTCCTAACCCGTTGCCACTGAGTCAATTCCAATGGCGAGCCCACATGTGATGGAGTAGAACTGCTCGATAGGGCTTTGTGGGCTGTAACCCTTACGGGAGCAGAAGGCCATCATTGCCTTTTCTCCACGGTGCTGTGGAGTGAGTTCAACTCTCCATCCTGTAGGCAAGTGTTGTTGTTGTTGTATTTAAGTGTCATCGAGGCAGCTCTGACTCACAGTAACCCTGTATAGAGTTTCCAAGGAGTGGCTGGCAATTTGAACTGCAGATCTTGCAGTTAGCAGTCCATTGCTTACTCTACAGCGTCACACCAGGAACGCTTAGTTAACTACAAACCATATGCACTACTCAGGGACTTGCAGGTTTCATGAGAGGTAGTTTCCTTTTTTGACTTGATGCTTTTGAGGTACTTGTGGTCACAGTGAGGGGGTTCTGCATGATAGTCAAAGGAGTGGGCATATCGCTGATGGTGCCCAGATCCTTCTTCCTCAGCGTACCTCACCTTCCAGCTCCCAGCCCCCTCAGCAACGCCAACCCAGAGCAGACGTGAGCCCCCACCTGTCACACCTGCCTCTCTCAGAAGGGGTTTGTCCATGATCAGGTTCCCTTACATTTATAGAATTCTTCACAATCTCTCTGTATAAGTAAGCCCGCACTGTCCAGCCAGATGCAATGGTTTGTTTAAAAGCAGCTCCGGGAAGTACAATGAAAGTTGTAAAGGTTTACTGACAATGTAGCCAAGATCAGAGCTAATGGACCGGCCTCTGGGTGTTCACTCTGCCCTGACCTCACTGGCTCTCCTTCCACGTCTTCAGCACATTTGCTTTTGATGTTCCTTTGGCTTGGAAGGCTCTTCCCTGAGATCTAATGGCATCATCTCAGTCTGGCTGCAAACACCACCTTCTCCGAGCATGACTACCTGAACACCTGAGCCAACACACTGGCCCACTCTCCACAGTTATCTTCTGCAGGGCACTTTGTTGTTGTTGTTGCTGTTAAGTGTCATTGGGTCAGTGCCGACTCATAGAGACCCTGTATAGGGCTTTCAAGGAGTGGCTGGTGAGCTTGAACCACGTACCTTGTGATTTAAGCTGTCCTTGCAGTCCAACACATTAACTCACAGCACCACACCAGGACTCCTACTGGTACCTAAAAGCAAGCTTTGTTTTGATGGTTCCATCTGTCTCCTGTGGATGCTACTTAAGTTGAAGGCCTTTCCTTACCATGATACAGTGATCCCGCCTATCCTCGGTTTCAGTTACCTGCAGTTAACTGCAGTTGGAAAGTATTTAAGTTGCACACCCTCTTGCTCTGTCCAGAGCTAGCTTCCTCCTCTCCACCACTGGGAGTCAGTCAGGAAAACACAGTTGGGCAAGTGCTGCACTGTGCCCTGCTAGCACCCCTCAGATTAACTCTGCCTGCCCAGGGTACCCTGGGTACCTGTCATAAGTATGTGTAGAGAAAAGCAGAGTATATACAGAGTTTGGTATTATCCGTGGTTTCAGTCATCCAATGGAGGTCTTGGAATGTACCCTCCCTCACAGATAAAGGGAAACTACTGTATTTAGAGGGAGTCCTGGTGTGATGCTGTAGGTACGTATTGGACTGCAGCAGTGAAAAGCATTCAAGGACTATCTACTGACTGCGTGACTGGACCCAGAGACCTGTACGTCATAGTTCATCTACCCACCACCCATCATCTGTCATTCTGTCACACTGCGGTGGCCTGCATGCTGCTAGGATACTGGGAGTTATAGAACCAATATTTTAAATAGCAGCAGGGTTACCTGTAGTAGGACAAGTTTCAGTGTTGCTTCTAGACTAAGGCAGTTTACAGAGAAGGGCCTGGAAAACAGGTGAGAACTAGCTGATGAAAACCACAAGAACTAGATGGTGCCCGGTTAACGCCATGGACCATTCTTCTACAATAGAAGCTCCCAGTAAGAATGGGTGAAAAATACATGACAAAGCTCACATTCAGAAAAAGATCACACTTACTGGACATACAGATTTTAGAGGAACTCCTGAGACTATCACCCTAAGATAACTTTTTAAATATTTAATTTTTTAAAATTGTGAACTGAGTGATAGTTCACATGGAGAACATCGGCTTTACTCGATCATTTCATTGCAATGATTGCAATCTCCTCCGTGCATCATTAGTCAACAACATTTGCTTCCATTCCCTCTGTTTTTCTTTGTGTGTGTGTGGGGGGGGGGGGGAAGGGGAGTGGGAAGATGTACACAAAAACACTCAGGAATATATAATCATTTAAACAACCAAAGGGCACATTCTGCAAGCCTGCTTCCTGGCTGCCAGCACTCAGTCCTTCTCTTTCCATGAGTCTAGAGTCCTCAGCTGCTCCCTCTCTCCATGTCCTCATATCTGCCTCCATCTCTGGTGTCTCTGTTTCTCTGGGTAGGGTTCCGCATTCTACTAGTGCTTTTTTCCCTTGATGGTCCTAAGGTCCTCTGTTTCTGGGCTGTAAGATTAACTACTCCCACCCGCCCGCCTTTTTTTTTTTAACAAAACTTCTACCTTTACAGTTGCGACAGTTGCAATTAGTCATGATTAACAATTACTCACTAAGATAGCTTTTTAACTTACAACTGAAGCCAATCCCAGAGGTCACCTTTCGCCCAAACAGTGCATTGGCCTATAATAATAATACCACCCAAAAAGAACGTGCTACTTTAAACAATCAGCTGTATGCAACATTTATCTCTCAGCAAAGATGAGATGGCAGCGAGGCTGGCAGGGAAATGGGAGGAATGGAACCGAGGCAGCAGGGGTGGGCATGGGGAGGGTGCCGACACATTATGGGGAACATAACCAATGTTACAGCACAATTTGGGCATGAATTGTTGAATGGGAATCTAATATGCTGTGCAACATTCACCTGAAATAGAATGCTTGAAAACAAAGGGCCTTACAGATCCCATCAGAAGTCTGACTTGCTTGCTTTGGACACAGCATTAGGAAGGTCAGTCAGTGGAAGAGGGCACAGTGCGGGGAAGTAGAGGAAGGGAGACGTGGTGAGGAAGATGGGCACAAGAGCCACAATGATGGGTTCGAACATGCTGACAATTGTGAGGATGAGGCAGGGCTGGGCCACAGTTCATTGTGTTGTACATAAGGTTATCATGAGTTCTGGTGTGGCTCTGTAGGCTAAGCATTGGACTGTTAACCGCAACATCAATAGTTCAACCCCCACAGCCACCCTCAGAAACCCTATACAGGGTCGGTATGAGGCAGAACCAACCAGAGGGCACACAACAACAAAAACAAGGTTACCATGAATTGGAGTCAACTTAAAAACAACAACAAGTGACTTAGATGGATAAAAATCACAGGCCATGCCCCAGTGTCACCATCTGGAAAACAACGCCTCAAACAAGATGGCAGAATGTCTTCTCCTTTGGTGAAAGATGCTAAGTGGTTTTGTAAAACTGAGAGTCATTAATGGAATGAGCTTGGTGACAGATCAAAGCT